GGGAACAAATTGTGGGACTTTCAATACAGACTGCTAAGTACAGAGTGACCACTAAATAGGGTACAACTTGATACAGATGAACTTGTAACTGATACCTAAAGTGTACAATCAATCTTAACCCTTTAACTCCCAGAACTAATTAACATGTAACTTCTTCCTATGATTTCCAAACATTTTTCAGCAAAACAGGTTATGAGAATATTTATTGCCAAATTTATCAGGGAGAAGTTGTCACCAAGATCAAACGCCAAATTATTGTAACTAACTTACAAGGAAACATGTGACAGCCAGAATGGAGAATTTAAAAAAATCAGATCTTAGGAGTTAGAGGGTGGGGAGCAATAATTAGGGACTGGGTGATGAATCATGGTAAATTCCCAAGACTTTTGAGACACCAACCTAAACCCATGTCTGAAAGGCTACATGTACCTTGCTTACTTGAAGGCAGAATGTTTTGCAAACTGTGATTGCCATGGAATTTCATTCTGTTTCCTAAGAGAATCCTGGGTAAACCAGGAGAGTTGGCACAATATCATGGCTGATTCCACATAATCTTTTATATTGTCAAACATCTCTGGTACACATCCCTAACCCTAACTCACTGTAGCTTCATGAATACCTGCCTACAAACAAAACAGTTGATCAAGGGCTCACCTTTTCTTTATTGGTCAGCTCTTCATCTTCCTTTTTAAGTTCTTTCATCTAAAAATAATTTTTCAAAATTCAGCTAAATATAAACATACAAATACAACCATGTAACAGGGTTCTATGGACAAAAAAGGCTTAAACTGATTAATATGTTCTTAACTTGGTATTAATCCTTTAACTCCCATGAGTGACCAAGACAGAATTGCTCCTTTTAATATCAATACAATATCAACCAGATAAGTGATGAGAATAAAGAAAAATGTCAATTTGGGGATAGTTAGTTGATCCAATACTAAATTCTCTGACCTAACATTATAAGAATTGTACATGTATGGTTGACAAAAAGGAGAAAGACAAATTTGATCTGGGAGTTAAAGGGTTAAGTGATGTCAAACTGGTCTTGCAGAATGATTAACCCTGGTGGATTTATCATGTTGAGCTTCCATATAAAAGTACAGACTGAGACATTTTCTTTTTCCCTTTTTTAATTGTTAAAAACAGGACTGGTTTAATTCCAACCTTTTTCTCCAAATGCTCCAATTCTCTACGAAATTTCTCTTCTTTTCCTTTATCCTCTGCTTTTTCTGCAGCTTTCAGGCTTTCTCTGGCCTGCTCAAGCCTCTTTTTATGCCTGGTTAATTGGAAAATAGATAAACAAATTAATTGATACTAATATCAAAAATTCAGTTTTTGATTGTTCTAAAGAGTTATGTAGTAAACTATGTTATCCACAGACACATTCTTACATGAAAAATACATATAAGTTTCAATTTATAAAAACTGCCTGGCTATTTAACCCTACACTGTGAATAATTAGGTACATGTTGTTTCTTGGTTTGTTTTCCTTTCTGTGACAAAGAACTTTCGGTATATTGGATCAAAGTGACCAGCACAATTAAAAACTAATTAAGTGAGAATTGTGTTTACATTTAAAAAACAAATTGGAAAAAATCATCCAAAACTAAAAATATTTCCTCACATATCCTAAGTAAATACACATCACATGGTAAAACACTCACTCTGAAATCTTTGTTTCAACAGCATCTCTTTCTTTCTTTGCTTCCTCCATTCTTTCCACTCTGGCTTGGTGCCGCCATCTAAACAGACTTGGCGTATCAATATTAGGGTGTGTGTCATCTTCGTCGTCACTAACCTTAAATAACGAAAATGTAACATTTAAATGCGATGATGAGACTGAAATTAAATAAAAAAACCATTTCAAAAAGGTAAAAAAGAGGTTGACTTCTGTAAGTTTTTTTTTTAATTATTAGTATAACAGTTATGATAAATGCAGTATAAGTTTGACTAATGTGAATCATTGACTTCAACAATCTTTGACATTTTTTCACTGCAACCCTTTAGCCCACACCTTACCACCAAAACATGCCCACAGAAACTCACTGGAGAAAACATGACTGGAAAACTATCATTTTCCATCATAGGCCATTTTATTTGCTATGAATGTTGGTGGTTTTACTTTTATTAATGGATGGGCACTCACAATGTGATCCCAGCGTTGACATAATTCTCATAAAAACATAACACAAGCTTTTTGACCTTGAGAAGACAAAAACTCCTTATGGAGTTTCGGTGAGATGACTCCTCTTCAAATCAATTTACTTAGGCAAAGTTAATGGGATTTTCTGTCAATTGGCCTTAGCGTTAACAGGAACAAAAGAGTGCCACCATCTTTTTCTAAATCAAATAATTCCCTTTAGGCAGCATTGGAATGTCATGCATTTCCAATTTTTTAATACTGAAACATAACAGTTCTATAATTGTGGTGGTTTCTTGAGAAAACATGCATGTAGAAATATTTTTCAGGATGGCATCCATTAAGTTTTGTAACCTTCAGATGCCAAAATCACTGTTAACTCTTAGAGATCACATAATTGTTTTTAAAATGTTCAGCCCACTTTAAAGTTATCTATTTTGACCTCTGTTTTCCATGAGCACCAAAGCATTTTGGGCATGAATAATTCATGTATTGCAGCACCTACTGTACTAGGGGAACCTCAAACAAATTTTCTAATTCAATATAAACTACACAGGTGAATTGTAGTTTTTGTGCACCTATATTGCTTACCTCAGCAGTAACTGGCAAGTGCAATGTAAAGTTCACCCCCCCAAGCAGCCAAAGAGACAAAATCATGAATCACAAGTTTGATTTGTAACCACTAATCAGTATGTTGACAGAATTAAACCAATTCTGGGGTTCCTATACGGTATATACTGATATAATTATTAACCTCAGTGCAAGAGAACTGGTGGTTGCCTACCCTGCTAATTTCCAGCTTGGTAAGTATCTGTCACTATTCACCTCAACAAATAGTGGTCTGGACCATAATTAACTTACACTGCATGTATATGTTTTCTAATCCAATTGTAGCAAAAACTTGGAAAGGTGGAATCATTCAATTGTAACATTTGTGTCTAGCAACATTCATTTTGTATAAAGTTCTAAATGCAAAAAGAAAAGTCTAAATCGCCGGATAGATTGTCTTAGTTAAATCTCAGGTTCTATACACGGAATATTATTGTCCTCAAACTTGTTTTATTTTCTGCTTCAAATTACAGCCTTGTCACCAAAGATTGCCAAAAGGATCACTCTCTTGTCATAAATACCACCCCAAAAAAGGCCATTCACACGATAGCGTCGTTTGACCAGAATTGAAAGAATCCTTCACATATTTCAATTTTGCTCGTGCAATTTGGGTAATTGCCATTTAAACCCCAAAAGGCCTTGCATATCTCAGAGTGCTTTTAATATTCTGAAGATCATTTTGTGCTCGAAAATAATACAGGAATTATAATTGAAACAAAAAACTGGGAAAAACGAACAAAACAAACTGAAGAAAGGCTGGAACGAGAACAAGCTCTAAGCAGTCGACTTAATTTATTTCAATACTTGAGACTAAACAACACGTACGATTTACAACTGAGAAGGTGCATTAAAGGAAGAACATTCCAAATAATCTCATTATATAAATACATACCTCAATATGATCCCATTTACTGTAATCTACCATAGTTTAGACGTGATTTGGAGACACTGGAAGGAAGAAAAGGCCACTTCCTTTACTAAGTATGGCGACCTCTGCCGACCTGGGAAAGTTGCTTCGAGAAGACGTAGTGTACGAGAGAGACTGGTAGCAAGTAATCGATGCGTGGCTGCTAAGCCAGAGAACATAAGTTAAGAATAATCATCATATTAAAAGCCGTCGCAATAAAGCAAGTCATGAGGCTTGGGAAAGACGTACATAAGTGGACGTGCAAAGATGTGGGCTTGTGGCTTAAAGAAAACGGTTTCGATGATCATGCGGATCTATTAGCGAAGCAACATAAGATAGACGGAGGTGCTCTTCTCGTCCTCAATGAAGATGACTTAAGAAATCCCCCGCTTGAGTTGAAAGTCCTTGGCGACATCAAGCGTTTATCTCTGGCGATTGCTTCTCTTCAAAGAAAACACAGCAGGCCAACGCACTTAGCACTCCCTAATGCTACGAATGGACACGTTAAACGAAAATTTGTTGATCAGATTGATAGCGTGGACGGTTTTGTGGGAGAGCTGAGACGACGCGACTTTTCGGATTCTGATATCGATGATGACAGGCCCGATGTTCATCCTTTCTCAAATATCTCTGAAACAGGGAGAACGTTGATCAGTTTGGTGTATGCGTTTTCAGTATTTTTTGTCACTTCTTTTGTAATGGTTTTCGTCCACGATCGCGTACCAGACATGAAGAAGTATCCTCCTCTACCTGACATAGTCCTGGACAATGTACCGCTCATACCGTGGGCTTTTCAAATGTGTGAGGTCACAGCGCTTATTTTAACTGCCGTTTTAACTACGGTTTTGTTCTTCCACAAGCACAGAGTTATCGTGATAAGAAGAATGGCTTCTTTGTGTGGAACAGTGTTTCTTCTGCGGTGTGTTACAATGTTCGTGACGTCTCTCAGCGTTCCTGGAATCCATTTGGAGTGCTCTGGAGGTACGTCAAAGGTACGTGTAAACAAATTATGAACTCAAAGCTCACGATTTTCGACCTTATTTAGACCGGGCTAGACATTTTTTATCACTTAGAAGAACAGTTAAACATGACGGAGAAATATGCTTATTGGTGGCATAATAGTTAAAATTTGCCGTAAGAACAGGCAGATATTGTTTACAGTTGTGGTAGCTTTAATGTGTTCTGCCAGACATGAATCATTAATGACACATATAGAATTTGAATACTTCTTAGTGGACTTTGCATTCAAGCTTTGATTACTTATTGATATGGTTATCACGTTTCTGGCTGTTGCTGTGTATTAATTTTCTGTTTTGCTTTTTAAAATCATCTTGGAACCTCTTTTTGGCAAAATTTTTCTGTTTGAAATGATGCCAAATGTGGATATACTAGAACCAGATTATGCAGACCTCAATTATCCAGATTTTTCGATTATCCAGACTGGCTTCTCTGGTTCTATTTTTTCACAAATTAGTCTCATTGGAGATCTGCAACAACTGGTTCCCCGTAAAACAAAGCAGATGCACTTCCATTTATGCAGCTTCAAAGAATGATAGATTTAGTGGCACACAAATACTGTAGCAGCTTGAAAAAACTGAGTTTGTGTCTAAATTTTAGGTCATAAAATACTTTTTTAAATACTCTGACAAATTTTGGAAATGGTGCACAATGATTTGAGAATGTCCATCTATTTTTGGCTCATCAACATTTATATTTTCAATTACCCAGACTCTCGATTTTCCAGTCTATTCAGCCAGTCCTCACAGGTCCAGACAATCAAAGTTTGACTGTATTATTTAAAGTGTGGAAAACATGTTGCTCATAGGTGGTCATGTTCAAACTGAAATGCAGTGTTAGTGTTAAATTATGTCGAAGACTGGAGTCCTTCTTCATGGTACAGTGGAGTGGATAGCAGTCCTTATAAATGAAAAATATCTTTAAAACATTAAAGCTCTCATAAAGCCCTTGAACCAACAAATTCTAAAATTAATCTTAATTGAAATCTGTTTCTTACAGCGTACTACAGTTTGTAAACTTTTGATGAGCTCCACACATTTAAGGCTCTAATGTAGAACAACATCCAGTAGCCTGTTTTAGGTCAGTCGTGCTTATGGTAGAATAAAGTAGGATGTATCAGGTTATTTCTCATTATCTTTTGCTTCTTGTTATTTTTTTGTAGTTGTATGGTGACACTTGGGCAAAAATAAGAAGAGCCTTCGAGATCCTGCTTGGTTTTGGGATGTCAGTAAATGGTGTGCGTACATGTGGTGACTACATGTTTAGTGGCCACACGGTTACCATCACCTTGTTGAATTTTTTTGTAACAGAATGTAAGTTCTAAGTGTTATTTCATATCACTTGTATTTATCTCTTTATTGTTCATGCTTCATATGCATGGTACAGTTACATATTGATAACTTGCTACTGTAAATATTTTTTACATTATTGAACTGAAGAAATGATAGAGGAAGATGCTTTAAATGTTTAATTAGAATTTTTCAAGCTACTTTGACTTTTATTTTATTTTGTCTGGTATTCTTTTTTATTTATAAAACAAAGGGAATTGAAAATGCAACTGGTTCTAGGAATTCTAAACCATTAAAAAAAAATGAACATAAAAATAAAGGTACTGACTGATTTTTTATGAGTTTAAGAGAAAGATGAACAGTATCTAAGTCAGTGACGAGTGTGCAAACACACTCTAGATCCTCTCAATTAAAAGTTAGATGGTCTAAAACTGAATCACTAAGCTGCAGGAAAATTATAGTTGGATAAGCTCTGTGGTACACTACATTTAATACAAGTTGAGGATTCACATCCAGACTACTGCTTGTATTAGCAATGCTGGAACCATTCTTTGTTGACAATTGTGGAACAAATAGATTTTGTACCTTTAGTTAGTTACTTGTGTTCTTGTTCATTGAGTGAAAAAATTGAAAACAATTAATTGACTTGATGAGTTTGGAAATCAATAGCTTTGGTAATACCAATTTCTCTTTCATTTGCAAGGTTAAGTATTATTATGTTTCAGTACACACCTGTGGGTGCAAACATCTTAACCCTTTACTCCCTGAAATCAGCATATTTTCCTTACTTTTCTCTATACATTTCCTAAGGGGCTGACAAAAGGAGACTTTGTTAACAATCAAGAGCTTCTTTAGTTTGTGATCATTTCCTCTTTTTTTGTTACCTTGATGTTTGATTTAGGAATGAGAGGTCAGAATTAGAGGTCAGTTTGGTTAAGTGAGGGTTTACAACAAGTAGATTATTCATAAAACACATATTTATTTGTGCAACATTTTTTTTCTTACAGATACACCATACTACATGTACTACTTGCACACATGCTGCTGGGTCCTGAATATGTTTGGAATTTTCTTCATCCTGGCTGCCCATGAGCATTATTCCATTGATGTTGTTATTGCTTTTTACATTTCTTCTCGTCTCTTCCTTTACTACCATACTCTTGCCAACACTCGAGCACTCAAACAGATTGACAGCAAAAGGACACGCATATGGTTCCCCCTTTTTTGGTTCTTTGAGGAAAAGGTGTCTGGCAAGGTACCAAATGAATATGAATGGCCTCTGAGGTGGCCCAGATTTCTGTGCAAGAAATCCAAGTCCCGTTAAAAGCCTGTGCATGTACCATTATCTGGCTGTGCTCCCTTCCATTGTAGGTTGAGAATTGAACTAGCTTTCTAGATAATGAACAAGGTATGATTTTCTAAGTTTCATCACAGGAGCAAAACTACTTGAAAGTGGTGGTGTAGGAAAATATGTATCTTGGTTACAGAGATAT